GGTTAAAGACAAAGAGAGAATCATAAAAGCAGCAAGAGAAAAGCAGTTAGTTACCTACAAGGGAGCTCCCATAATACTATCGGGCCAGAAGGGATTGGCAAGAAATATTCAAAGTGATGAAAAGCAAGGACCTACAACCAAGATCACTCTACCTGGCAAAGTTATTATTTAGAATCAAAGGATAGAGAACTTCCTAGACAAGAAATAACTAAAGGAGTTTATCAGCACCAAACCAGTATTACATGAAATATTAAAGGGTCTTCTTGAAGGAGAATAAGGAGGAGGAGGAGGAGGAGGAGGAAGAGGCAATATAGGATCAGTAAAATGGCATACATATCTATCAACAATTGAATCTAATAAACAAACAAACAAAAAAATGAATAAGCAGAAAAAAACAGACTCAGAGATACAAAAGTGAACAAGCAGAAAAAAACAGAACTGTTTGATGGTTGCCAGATAGGGGAGGGGTTGGGGGGATGGGTGAAAAAGGTGTAGGGATTAAGAAGTACAAATTGATTGTTACAGAATGGTTGTGGGGATATAAATAAAGCATAGGAAATAAGTATAGTGAATAATATTCTAATAACTAGGTATGGTGTCAGATGGGTGTGAGATTTACCAGGATGACCTCTTGGTTATATATTGTCTAATCACTGGGGTATATGTACTCCTGAAACTAATATTATATGTTAACTGAAATTTAAAAAATAAAAAATGATTTAAATGTTTAAAAATGGGGAAAAAATTTTTGAACCCATTTGGTTATTATAAAAATAACCAAATTGCTAGAATCTTTCATAATTTAGGGGCTCAAATACTGGCTTAGTTTTCCATCCTGTTCAAGTTACTTCCTAATAGTACCTCTAAAGTCAAACATGACTTTCTGATGAATTTTGGGCATGACAGACAAACATGACAGATTCCATTAGTTAGTTATTTTTAAAAGTAGTTTAACTTACTTTATCTTCCCCTGATGAAGTTGGTGGTTCATAATCATCCGATTCCAGCTCTAGTGAAAATGTGCTTTTCTGGCCAGTTGCTTCTCATTTGCTCTGGTGCTGCAGGAAACCAGTTTGTTGGTTTGTTTTTTGTCCGTCTGTATTGTCATCAGTTTATGCATCTAAGTATCCATCCATCAATCCATCCATTCATCCATCTATCCACCCCATAAATATTTACTAAGGAGCTGTGACCTTCCAGCAATGGTAGTAGATATTACGGGGGTAAACTGGACATCCAAAGGCAAATGGAACCCAGTTCAACATCTCTGAGAGGTCACAGTCTAGGTCAGACATAGTCCTATAAACCTATAACCATGTGAGCGGCAGTAAGTGCTGTAAAAGGGATGTGCTCCAGGTGCAGTGAGGAGAGGATGGTACCTTCCTAGAGAGTTTAGGTTTTCCAGAGGAAACAACACCTGCTCTGCTGGGAAGGAGAGAAGGGTTTGCCAAGTGGACAGAGGAAGAAAAAGCATTTCAGGCTAAGGAAACAGGAGATGAGAAAACATGAGGTATAAAAACCCCAGGTGCATTCAGTGGAATCCAAATAAACCGCTTTTGCTGAACTGTGGTGGTTGCAGTGGGGGAGGAGTCTGAAAGGGATGGGCAGTACAGATTGGTCCAAAAGGCAGTAGATCCCTCTGGAAGAGCCACGCTGGTGGACCAGGCTTTATTCTCTCAAAAAGTTGTCCAGGACTAGATGCTATGGTTTTGCTTTTTGCTGGATGAATGAGCAAATAAATGACAATACATATTTATAAGCTGTTGAAAATTTTTAAAAGTCTTTCATTTTTAGTTTATAAAAAAATGCAGGAAAGCTAAAAGAAGAAAATAAAATGTCTTGTAATTGTTATCATACTATCTGGCACCATTTCTTCCAGTACTGAAGACTTTTTTTTTTTTTTTATCCTCACCCGAGGATATTTTTCCATTTTTTGTACAGATAGAGTGGGAGGGAGAGAGAGGAAGGGAGAGAGAGAGAGAAACATCGACGTGAAGGGACACATCGAATGGCTGCCACCCGCACGACCAACCAGGGCCGGACAAACTGCAACCGAAGTACGTGCCCTTAGCGGGAACTGAACCCGGGTCTCTCCGGACCGCAGGCCGACACTCTAACCGCTGAGCCAAACTGGCCAGGGCCCAGTACTGAAGACTTTTGAACATAGACCTTATAGGTTAGAGAAATGATTTGCACACGTTACAGCAGCAACAGGGAGGTGGGTTATGGGCAGAGAACCCAATGAGCAGTCCATTGCAATAGTCCAGGTAAAAAATGATGAAGACCTGAAGTAAACATGATAGTGAGGGTTCCCTGGGTCAGCGCATGTGAAGTTCTCCCTAAGTCAGTCACCAAAATAAACACTAAATAGAGATAAAGCATTATGTTCAAGAAATCATTAAGTATTTCTTTGAATAAAAACTGGCAACTGATTGTGTGTGTGTGTGTGAGAGAGAGAGTTGGGGGAACCCCATAAGTAGGAGCAAGACGTCTAAGATGATTACTGAACTAAGCAAGATGGGGAGTACAGGTGAAAGTCGTTGGAAGGAGGATACTTATGTGTTGAGCGTGAGGTGCTTGTAGAATGTTCAGGTAGGGATGCTTGATAGATGGTAATGCGAGTCTAGACTCAAGAGAGGGTCCTGAGTTCAGAGGTCTCAGTTTCTCTATGGAGAATAGTCTTTGGGAGACCAGAAGTAAATGTGGTTCAAAGTGGCCCACAGATCAGAGCAGACCCAAAGGTCAATTAAGGTCTTTGTTGCATTGTGCCCTACACTGTAGACTAAACAGTCTGTTCAGAGTATCTTGTGCATCAGTGCATCTTGGGAATAGTAACATTCACTTCCACGAGTCTTTGGGAGTGGTAATGTTTTAGTTTGGAATCCCTATTTCTTCTACTTCTTGGGTTCTGTCTTTTCTTCGCCATTTTGATGGATGCGTTTATTCTTTCAACAGTTATTTTGTGAGGGCCTGCTATATTCCAGGCACTTGGGACAAACCCATGCACAAGGTGGACACTCATGGAGATTGCAGTCTAATCTCAGATACTGACATTTAGATGGGACTTGAAGTATGCTCACAAATTAGCCTGTAGAAGGCATGGGTAGGGGTGGGCAGGGCAGTGGGATGTGTTCTAGGCAGAGAGGACTTTGTGTGCTGACTCTGCTGTCGGAGGAGTGTTGCATGGTCAGAGGTGCAGTGTGGCTGTATGCATGGCCGTGATGGGGGCAGCCCACGTGGAGGTGGGAGACTTTCCGGATGCCTTCTTCCTGAGAATAATGGGAAGCATTGAAGAGTGTTATGTTAGAGCATAATGGGACCCAACTTACATTTTTAAGGTCACTCTGGATCTTCTTAATGGATCCAGAATGGATTTGCAAAGACTGAGTGAAGGGACCAGTTAAGAGGCTGATGCCCAGTCCTGAAAGAGATATTGGAAGCTGAGCCAGGAGGCAGGTATTCTGAGGGAAGTATATGGATTTGAGTTACATGGGATTCATCATGATTTTAAGGTTCATTCATATTATAGCATGTATCAAAATTTCATTCTTAAGGTTTAATAATATTCCATTGTATGTATATACTACATTTTGTTTATACATCCTTCTGTAGATAGGCATTTGGGTTTTCATGTTTTCACTATTATGAATAATGCTGCTATGAATATGGGTGTGCTGCGTATTGCAATTTTATTCTTATATGTCATCTTCAGTAGATGATAGGAGCAGTATTTTATTAATCACATTTCTATCCAGCACTCAGCAATGCCTAGAATGTTGTAGACATGTGAATAAAGGACTTATAATTGATTTATTTTTGTTTAACAAATACTTGTAAAGTACCATCCAATCCAAATGCTTTTAAAGAAGTTAACTCATTTAATTTTACTAAAAACTCTGTGATGTATAAAACTACCATTAAGCCTTTTTACAGATAAGGAAAGTGAAGCAGAGTTCAGTTAGTGGTAGAACTGGAGATTCAAACCCAGAAAACCTGGTCTGGGTCTTGACCCTTAGTCTCCCTGCTATGTTGTCTCCCTAGTCCAGCTGTCTGGGCTTGCATGTATATTCAGGTGAGTGGTAAGTGTAAGAATTGTTAGGGGAATTCAGAAGGGAAATGCTTCTCATAAATGCTCTTTTATGTCAAAATAGTGCAGACTGCATTTTAGATGTAGAGGAGTTTGGCTAGAAGATTTAGCAAGAACAAAACAAAACAAAAACCTCCAAATTATCCAACCAACCAAACAAATCAAAACCTACTATTTCCATGTGTGAACACTGTAACAGAGAGGCAAACAGCCCGAGCTGCTGGAGGGTGATTAGATGGTGATCACAAACTCTGCTGATGGGCTATCCCTTCTCACAAGGAGTGAGATATTTTCAATAATATTTCAGGCAATGAATTGGCACTGTGCATGTGAAGACAATAAAATATTGTATATTAGAAGGAAGACTGGAAGCAAGTCCTTGAACTATGTGGAGAGGGTGGGTAAAGGGTGGTCCAGGTATAGCAAGCGCTGCTCCCTCACGGGACTGTGCAGCCCCCTTTTGCCCTGTTCACTCCCCTTCATGTCAGCACCTGCAGCCCCTCATCAGAGTAGAGGGTCGTCCCTGTTCCTTACCTAGATGCTTGTTGTAACTCCAAGATGTTTTCTGTCTGCTCTAGATGTCCAGATTGATTCATCCTTCATTATCATTTCCCCCCATCTACTCCCAGGGTGGGGAGGGCTCAGGAGTTGCTCAGGTCCAGGAGAGGTGCCCGTGTCATCAGAGCACAGCAGAATTGTAATTGTTGTGGTCCTCCATTTAGCATCACACCTTTGTGTCTGGTCCATTGCCATTGTACCTACTTAACCTTTAACCATCTCCTGGCTAGAGCAAATCTGTCACCTCCTTCTGGAAAATGCTCCATTTCCACTGTTTGCTTCTGCTGGTGTCTAGCTCTACACGTGGTCACAGTTGCGTCTATGCAAGTCTGACTGATGATTCTGATGCTTCCAGGTTCCTCGAGACAAGAGACTGCTGTCTATGAGCAAGGCAAGTGACAGCCAAGAAGATCAGGACAAAAGGTACGGTGTTAAAGGAATATGCCTGGCTTCCAAAACACTCTTGTTCTATGCTTTTTTGTTTGTTTTAAACAACAGTATTAAACTATAATTTTTGTTCTTGAGAGGAGTTGGGGTCAAGAGGCATAGCCTCCTCTATCTGTCTTTTGGAGTCTGGACCAAATTAAGATCTCTCAGTAGGGAGAGAAAACCGTGCACCCAAAGGATCACCAGCAGGCTCTTGACATACCTACAAAATTCCCACAGTTAGAGGTGATCTGCTGGCAAGATAGCCCACTGCTGAGGTGAAATTTTCTGTCAATCCCATGGCTGTATAACTGTGATCAGACTCTTGAGGGGATTAGACATTTGGGGCTTACTTTTGATGAGGGGAGAGGAAGAGGCTCTGGGTAGCAGCAGACACTGTCAGGATGCAGAGACAGGAAAGATGTTAGCAGACCGTTATGCAATACTTCTTTCCTGTAATCTTGAAATAGAATGAATTGAAAACCAAAATGCAGTCAGACAGATTAAAATTAAAAAGAAAAAAAAATCAGTTTTATTTCTTTTTTTTTATCGTCACCTGAGGACATTTTTCCATTTTTCGTTCAGGTAGAGTGGGAGGGAGTGAGAGGAAGAGAGAGAGAGAAACATCAACGTGAAAGGGACACATCGAGTGGCTGCCACCCTCACGACCAACCAGGGCCGGGGACAAACTGCAACCGAGATACATGCCCTTAGCGGGAACTGAACCTGCGTCTCTCTGGACCACAGGCCGACGCTCTAACTGCTGAGCCAAACCGGCCAGTGCCAGTTTTATTTCTGATGAAGGCAATTAGAGAATGTGATTTTGAATCTGCAATTTGTACATTTCAGTCTTGCCTTTGATACGTTTATTCATCTAGGTCTAAGCAGGACTTCAGGCCTCCCTGAAGGGACAGGCCACCTGTGGTATATTAGGGGTGGCTGGAGTGTCCCCTTTCTTTGGTCAAGATGATCCAGACATAAAGAGGAAACTAGAAGGGACTGACCACCTTGCTCAGCTACTTCTTCCAAACTCCCCAAATACATCTCTTCCACTACAGAGAGATGGAGACACCACAGTGTTTTTCTACTGCAGGTTTTTTTCCAATGGAAATATGAAGCCAGGAGAGATGAAATCCCCTGCTAGCACAGATGTCAGAATCTTACCTGGCCTTGATAGGAACTGCTTGTGACATTACCATCTCGTATGATTAGCAGTGGGAGACACCCCACCTACCAGCAGCCCTAGGCTGGGCATCACCTCCAAGCTACACCCCAGTGGAAGACTAAGAGTAGCTACATCTGATTTGCAGTTCCACAGGGGTCTTCTGATGCTCCCCGCTGCCCTGGGCCCTCGTTGAGAGCAGTGATGACAGGGAGAAAGAGGCTGCCACTCTTCAGGTCTTGCAACGTCTCCTCCATCTAGCCATTGTTTATGAAGCTAAGACTAGGCTGTTTGCTAAGTCCTATACCAGCAATCATAGAGGGACCAGGGAGAAAATGAGTCTTAGATGTGTATTCTGTCTGCATCATAATAGACAAAAGAAGCTATGCTTTGTTAAAGCATCTTTTAGAACACCATTAAAGAGAGATGGGTGCTCATTGCATTTTAATGGTTATTTTTATGATTTCAATGAAGCACCTTTAATAAAAGCCGGCAGTGAGGGATAGACAAAACCACCTTGTGTAGACTAATTATGACTTAGTAGGCTTTGGTTGAGCATAATTTGGAAGGATATCATTTGATCTGCAGTGCATTAATGAATTAAGGTGCCCTGTGCTAACATGATATCATTACAACTGTACACAAAAGTTGCTTCTTTGGAAAATAGAATTTCAATGACATAATCTGAAAAAAAAGTTTTAAAGTATATATAGTGCACCATTCTTAGCATTGCATTTTTCTCATATTCTAATATTTGGTTCAATTTTAAATTATATTGCAGGTGAGTTGGTGTCTCACAATAATTCTACTTTGTTCTAATCATCCATTTTGTTTTTTGGAATTCTTTCTGAAGTGCTCCAGCATCAGCCTCTAAAGCCAATACTATTCTACAGAGGCATAGTTACACATTATAGGATGTTACTGAGTCTATTAATTCCTCATCACATAATAGTAACAATTTGACTAGATTTATACAACTATACAGTTTGCTTATTTATTTGTTTGTTTATAAGAACACAAAATCTTTTTGTAATAAATGTTTTTTTTGTTTTTGTTTTTTTTTTAATTTAATTTGATTGATTGATTGATTGGTATGTGCCCCTAGTGGGAACCGAACCCAGGACTCTCTGGTCTGCAGGCCAACGCTCCAATTGCTGAGCCAAACTGGCCAGGGCAATAAATATTGTTGTTGATTATTTTGTGTTAGAGAGAGAGAAAGGAGAGAGAGAGAGAAACATTGATGTGAGAGAGAAACATCAGTTGGCTGCCTCCTGCACTCCCCCTACTGGTGGTCATGCGCCCTGATCGGAAATCAAACTGGGACCTCTCAGTCCATGGGAGGTGTTACCATCTTGATAGCACCAAAAATCTTTTGCCTTACATTTCTTGTTTAGAATTTAGGCATTTTACATGGATTAAAGAATTAAGAAATTTGGAGTAAACTGGACTCTTAACTATAGAGGAGTTGGTTAACTTGGAATATTTTGGTAAAGCCATTAAGGCTGTGCTAGTTCAAAGCCCAGAGGAGTGGAGACTGGGTAATTGCTTTGGTAGCTAATAAATGTAGAAAATGCTTCTATACCCAACTAGCAGGACATTATCTACAAGTATTAATAATTAATCCTCCATAGAAGGGTCTGGGGTAAAATGAGTTTCAGAAATTCTGGGTTACTGTTAAACAGGTGAAGGAATGCCTTTACCATATTCAGATGTTTGTGACCCACCAGGGTGGTCTTGTTATGGCGATGTTTTTTGTTTTGTCGTAATACTGATTTTATCATGGATTCTTTTCTTTGAGGAACATCTATTAACATTCCATGCAAATGTTCTAAATAATGGGGTTTAGGAAATGCTGATATAAATGGGTGGTCTGGGTTTTGGCATCTTCCAGTTAACTGGATACAGATTAAACGTAATTTCTTAATTTTCACTGTGTCCTATATACAGATTCACTGCTTGATTTGGCCATGAAAGGTGGTTATTACTTAAAGCCAGAATGTTTGTAGACTTGCGATTTTATTCTTTAAAGGATTATTTTCTAGAATGATTTCTACAGATCTGTGACAGACTCGGAGAAGTTTAGGTATTTTTCTATTGGCTGTGTTCATGTTGAGCCATTCATTCCTCAAGCTGCACTTTGAAGTTTTATCTGAAAAATCAAAGCTGAAATACCAAGTCCTGCTTGAAAGTTAGGCAAGCTCAGAAGCTAATGGACTTCCTTTACAGAGAGGAGCCAAGAGAGCTCAGTTCTTGGAAGAACCAATTTTATTAGAATATTTCTTTCTATGAGAGATGCCAGTAAGCCCTATAAAGAACATGCTAGTTTTTGTTTTAAAAAAGCAGACATCAAAGACAGGGAGACATGTATTTTCTTTGTATATCAGAATAATCAATAAGTAAGTGAGAGGTGGCCTCAGATTTTACTGACCACGGTGACTTTGCTAGTAAAATTATTTGCTGCCAACAATAATTTTCCATTAATGAGGCTCTCTTTGCTTCTGCTCTCTCCCAGAATTCTTTAGTATAAATGAAAATATTTCATCCTAGCCTAGCAAGAGTTAATTTTTTTAAATCCTCCCCTTTCTCTTTGTACCTGCCAGGAGGTCTGAGATCTGAGAGATCTTGTTTTACATAAACCCAGTTACACCACTTCCTTAAGCCCCAAACATAATTTAATGCGAAGGCTACGAGTGAGCTCATGTTATTTCATAATTTAGTAAAAATATTTTAATGATAAATTCTTACTTCTTGCTTTTTCTACAGTTTCAGAAAAGTGAAAAATATCCTTCCCACCCCCCTCAAATGACCATATGGTAGTTCTCCTTCTGCCTTTTAAAAAATATATATTTTATAATGTGTTTTTTTTTAAGTTTTCAAACATATACAGAATAGGATAGTATAATGCCTCCTTAAATACCCAACTCATCCTCTAGATTCAGCAGTGATAAGGTTTTGTTACATTTGCTTAATCTCTAACTTTTCTGCTTTCTCTCCTTTTCTTCTTTTAAATTACAATAGTATTTAAAATAAGTCATGTCATTTTACCTTAACTACTTCTGATTTGTATATCTAAAAAAAACAAACAGCCCTGGCCGGTTTGGCTCAGCGGTTAGAGCGTCGGCCTGCGGTCCAGAGAGACCCGGGTTTGGTTCCTGCTAAGGGCATGTACCTTGGTTGCAGTTTGTCCCCGGCCCTGGTTGGGTCGTGCGGGTGGCAACCACTCGATGTGTCCCTTCACATCGATGTCTCTCTCTCTCTCTCTCTCTCTCTCTCTCTCTTTCTCTCTCTCCCTCCCTCCCTCCCTCCCGCTCTATCTGAACAAAAAATAAAAAAATGTCCTCAGGTGAGGATAAAAAACAAACAAACACACACCTAGGCCATTTTATTACATCATCTCAAAATCCTTATCACACCTTACTAAATTGACACATCCCCTTAATATCACCTAACACCCAGTCCAAACTCAATTGCCTCAAAAATCCCTTTGCTTCATAAATGCCTTTTTGGTGTGTTCAGATCAGGATCCAAACAGGAACTACTCATCACAGCTGACTGTTATATCTTTAAATTTCTTTTCATCTAGAATAAGCCTCCCACCTCTCTTCCTTTTCATGCCTCTGACTTATTGAAGAAACCAGGTCAGTAAGATGTGCAGCGTTCTGGGTTACCTGATTACTTCTTCACAATGTTGTCAAGGTCTTCCAGCTTCTGTATTTCCTGAGAGCTGGAAGTTAGATATAAAGCCTTGCTTAAATTGAAGGTCTTTTCTATTTTTAGTAACAGCACTTTCTAGGTGGGGCTGATGCATGATACCCTAAGGCACATGTGTGTAGTTGTCCTACTTCTGGTGAAGCAAAGATCCATTGCGTCCCCTTGTAAAGTTCACCATCAACCTCTCCTCTCATGATGATACGTTCACTCCCACTGATGGCCCGCATCCGTTATTTTATTAAGAGTTGCCAAGTGGTGATTGTTCTAATTCTATGATATTGCGGGGTGGGTTTAAACACACAGAAACTGTCTCGGCACCAGTGAAGCCCAGAGTAATTCGAGTGGAGGAGAAAACCGAGTGCAGGTCCTAAAGACGGCTCCGGTGAACCTGTCCCTCAACCAAGAGCACCTGGAGAATTCCAAGCGGGACCAGTACAGCACGCCCGTCCCCGAGAGCCCCGCCGTCGTCCCGGTGTCGGGAATCACGGTGGTGAAAGCTGAGGATTTCACACCGGTTTTCATGGCTCCGCCCGTGCACTACCCCCGCGCAGACGGCGAGGAGCAGCGAGTGGTCATCTTCGAACAGACCCAGTACGGCGTGCCCGCCATGGCCGGCCACGGCACCTACCTCAAGGACGACCAGCGCAGCACCCCGGACAGCACCTACAGCGAGAGCTTCAAAGACGGGGCCACGGAGGTGAGTCCCTGCTTCCCGGGGCGGGAACCAAGTCCAGGACCCTCAGCCAACTTCTGTTCTCTATCTACTTTTGAAGTGGGATACATGAACTGGACGGTGGGAGTTTACCGTTATTTTAGAAAGTGGGTTTGGCCCTTCCATTATGAGCAGGTTTTAATAAACCATTGGTCTAGGTGTGTGGAGGGGAAAAAAATCTTTTGACTCTTAGATGACAGGTTCCTTTGTTTGTTTTTGTTTTAGACCTAAAGTTAAACATTTGTAAGGAATGGAAAGGTTTTTGTGTGGAAGCTGCCTGCTTTTTAAAGTTTTTATCTTGACCTCTTCTGGTTTGTAACCTTCTAGATGGTAGCCAAAGCTGTTGCCTGCCCGTTCTTTTAAAAAACAATGTAACTCTCTACAACCTTGTCTGATTAAATACTCAAGAATTAATTTATATTTTCAGTAAGCAAGTGTATATATATATATGTACTTTGTACCTTATAGAGACTATATATTCTTACCATGTGCCCGTAGAATTTACATCAACAGTGATCTTTGCTTGTTTGTTTTAAAATCACGTGATTTAAGTGCACAGTTTGAAATTGTTGGTATTGTACACAGTTGTGGAACCAACATCAGAATCAATAGGAAGCCCCTTCATCCTGAAAGTTCCCCCAATTCCCCTTGCACTTGGAGCCCTCTCCTCTCTTGCGCTTGTCAAGCATAAATCTGCCTTCTGTCACTACAGTTTTGCTTTTCCTAAAATATCATACACATGGAATAGTAGAGTATATAGTCTTCTATGTTGTCTTATTTCACGTAGCATAATATTATTTATTTATTTTTATTTATTTTTGTTACAATGTTTCTCCTTTCTCCCCCCAGTGACACCCTCCTCCCCACTCCCTCCCACCCCGTCCCCAGCTTTGTTGTCTATATCCATCGGTTATGTGTACATGCATATAAGTTCTGTGGTTCATCTCTTCCCTTTCCTTCCACCCCCCTTCTGAGGATTGTCAGTCTATACCCTACTTCTATGTCTCTGGGTCCATTTTGTTCATCAGTTTGTTTAGTTCATTATATTCCAGAAATAAGTGAGATCATGTGATATTTGTCTTTTTCTGTTTGGCTTGTTTCACTTAACATAATACTCTCCAGGTCCCTCCATGTCATCTCAAAGGATAAGAGATCTTTCTTTCTTGCAGCTGCATAGTACTCCACTATGTATATGTACCACAGAATATGTAATTTTAAAAAAATTAGTTCAGGTCAGCTTCTTTAACATTTAGGTGCAGTGCCTCTGCATTTGAGGTGGTCATTGGCTTCCCATATTTTCAGTCCCCTGGGGCCGATAAAAGACAATGGCAGGAGAAAACACAAAAAACATGTGGTTTCTAATTTCCTAAAGAAGACTGAGTGTGCTGCATCATGTCAGACACTTGCAGCCTGCTGTCCTTGTAGTCGCCATTGGGACAAAATGCAGCTACCTGAGGTTGAGATTGCATCCCTAATCAATAATATTTAAAATAATAAACATTTAATAAGCATGATGTGCTGGGCATCATTCTAAGTGATAATATACTCATTTAATCCTCACAAAACCCCTATGAGATAGGTAAGATAGGTACTATTACTGGTGTCTCTATTTGCCAAATGAGGAACTAAAGCACAGAGAGCATAAGTATGCCCATGGTCAAACTGCAGTAAGTGGCAGAAGGACTCATCACAGGCTACTTCCTCCACGACTTGTGTCCTTAACCATTGCCTCTATACTCTCAGAGAATCTGTGTGGAAGACAACGATTTACCCATATATTTGTTGTGTGTGTTTTTTTAAAAAATCCGAGTGTCATTTATCTATGTCATTAGTTATTTTTTATCTTTCAGATCGGGGAGAAGAGGAACAAAAGGGACTTGCTCTCTGCAGTGTTGGTAGAAAGTTAGGGTAGACAGGCTTTGCTAGCAGCCCTTCCATTCCCAGGGCTGGCCACCCCTGAGTGCCCACTGTGCATTCCATGAAACCAGGGAACGAACAGAGCAAGACTTGATGAATTCCCTGCCCAAGAGAGGCCGTTCTGTTTCTTGGGTTCTGGTAGCTTTATAATCAAACTTTCAATATCCTTATAATGAAAAAAAAAAAAAAATGGTATTAAAGTTAGTGTCCTATTGACTATTTGATTTGTCCTCAAGTAGTCAGGGCTGCTTCCTTAGGAAAAGCAAATCCCTCCACGTGGGAATATGAAGTACATGCTTTTGCTCCAAAGGGTTGCCACTGATGTTTTTCTTACATGGTGTAGAAATATTCCATTAGTCACAGAAGAGTCCATGGATGTAGTCCAATGTCAACGGAACCATCATGCTATTTGGGGGATGTGTTATCAATTGTGTTTATGTTGTAGATAAAGAGGCTCATGAAAGGAAGCCATTGTATTTGGGGTTTTATTTTTAGGTGCATGAGAAAGGAACTTACCAGAAACTAAATATGAAGAGTATTCCCACTGAATTTGGAATACGTGGAATATTTTAGCTGTTCTCCTAGTCTTGGAAATCAGTGTTTACATGGCATATTGTATTTCAATCTGATGTGAATTAAATGGAGTGCTCTATTATGATCTTTAGCCATGGCATTGCTAACAGGTTATAAGACTAGGTGAGCTCAGTAACTTCACCAAGTAAATTTCACTAAGGAAAATTTGTCTAAAATCTAGCACTTCTTTTAGAATACTATTAAATTGTCTAGGACCCTTGTTGAATGAGCAGGTTTCATTTGCTATTAGAGACTCATTTATTTGTGTGTGTGTGTGTGTGTGTGTGTGTGTGTCTGTGTGTGTGTGTATGTGTGTGTGTGTGTATGTGTGTGTGTGTGTGTGTAGTGGGATGAAGGGAGTTTGATATACATGATTAAGAAATATATAGATGCACTACATCAAATCACAGTAAGGTAAGGTGATGTTGGCTGTCTGCCTGCCTTTGGGCCTCCCACTTATTATATCAATAGATTTCCAAACAGCTATGAAAACTTGGTAACTGCCCTGGCCAGTTTGGCTCAGCGGTTAGAGCGTTGGCCTGCGGTCCGGAGAGACCCGGGTTCGGTTCCCGCTAAGGGCACGTACTTTGGTTGCAGTTTGTCCCCGGCCCTGGTTGGTCGTGCGGGTGGCAGCCACTCGATGTGTCCCTTCACATCGATGTTTCTCACTCTCTCTCCCTTCCTCTCTCTCCCTCCCATTCTATCTGTACAAAAAATGGAAAAATATCCTCGGGTGAGGATAAAAAAACAAAACAAAAACTTGGTAACTATAATCAGAATGGCCCAAGCATTTTGGTTCCAATTCTTCATACTAAATCATTTAGGGCCATGTTACCCATCAATGTGATCAGGTCTCATAAAGGATCATGATCTTTTCCAAGTGCACTCTACATTTAATTTTTTTTTTTTAATTATAAAGATAATGTAACAGAAATAAAGAAAAAAAATTTAAACTTGAGTAATTCTATGTCTAAAGTATATCAACTAATTTTTTTATAGTTCTTGTTCTCATAATTATTGGAGTGATTCTTTATCCAGTCAGTGTGTGTGTGTGTGTATATATATATATGTATATATATATATACATACACACACACAGTCTCTTTGAGTCTGAACAGTTGTAATGTATCGCACATCACATCACCTGGGAGATTAGGATCATAGAATTTACAAGTGCAATATTTTTAGCCTCTCCGCAGGCTGCAGAGCTGTACAGCATGGACGGTACATTTATTCAAGGCCATGTTTATTAATACTGCTTCACCATGTGTTGTTTGGAAGTGCATTTCCTCTATCTCTAAAATACTCCCTTAAGGGTATTTTTCATCATGCTATCCTCCTACTCCAAAATTTCCTAATTCTTAAATATACTAAATATAAATACCTTTTTAAAAATATATTTTTTTTATTGATTTTTTTAGAGAGAGAGGATGGGAGAGACAGAAACATCAATCTGAGGGAGAAACATCGATTGGCTGCCTCTTGCACACCCCCTACTGTGGATCAAGCCTGCAGCCCAGGCATATGCCCTGACTGAGAGTTGAACCAGTACTTCTCAGTCCACAGGACGATGCTCCATCCTCTGAGCCACACCGGCTGGGCTGAATACCTTTTCATAAATCATCCCTTTCCAACAGAATTTTCTGCAATGGTGGAAATTTTTTTTATGCTATCTAACATGGTAGCCACTAGCCGCATGTGTCAACTTAGTATTTGAAATGTGGCTAGTTGACTGAGGAACTGAATGTTTAACTTTAATTCTGATCAACTGCAGCATATGTGGCTAGTGGCTACTGTATTGAGCAGTGAAGACTGAGATTTTCAGGTCCTCCCTTCAGAACCAGGCCAGGCCTGGGTCCTTGACCCCATGTGTATACCACATTTGTACCCATCGTTTTGTCTTGAATCATGGTGGTCCTCTCTCACTTAGATTACTTTTTTTCAATTTCTTCAGTTAGCCCAGGTTCTCTTTGCCTTCCAAGGGTTGGAGCCAAGTTCATAACCCCCATGAAACCTTCTTATAATTTTGCTGATCTTCCCTTCCTGGTAATGTCCGTTCTGTGCGTTTCCAGTCAGGTCACCTGCATGAATGAACGGATGAGTCAGCACAGACTTTCATATTTATTCATTTACTGTATTTTTGTTTCTTTTGTTTTTGTTGCTTTTCATGTGAATTTGCCAGTCTCCTCCACCAATTCGTATTTCTTTGAGGACAGGATAGTGTCTTAGAGTTTTTATGTATTTCTCCTAGAACCAAGAAGATGGTGAAGCCCCAGAAAATTTACATTGAATGCTTTGCTGATTGATTGATTGATTGATTGATTGATTATAAAATAATCTCAAATCTGAATCTTTGATTTTATGTCATGATTATTGAACCAGTCAACAAACATTTGTGAAATATTCCAGGGATGCGTTTGGGTAAACTTTGAAGAGCAAACCATCTTCTTGCATCTAAGGAATTTATAAGACTGAATTAAAATAAAGATGATAAGTATATACATATAAACTGTGATATAAGGGTACACTAAATTCTAGGGGTGGTGGTTAGGGATTGTGAAGAAAGTTTGGAAAATAGCTGTGAGTAACCCCTTCCTGAGAAGAAAACCTGTGAACTGTTGGTCGAAGAATGGACGAATGAGAAGCAGGAAGGTTATTTTTTAGAAAGAGACACTTTTAAAAGGTCACAGTGGAAGGAGCAGGTGTGGTGAGGTTAACAAAGTGCTTTTTCATCTATATTCTATTATATTTATTTTAAGATCAAGAGTTAGGGCTTTTATGCATCTGCTTTTCAAAAGTTCTGCAATATAGATGGCATCATACTTGCACTAAATATTCAATAATAGAATATCTCTGGGCTCAAGCTCTTCACATGTAATGCTGAGGCTTAGAGTTTCCCCCCAAAGTTACTTTTACAATATTGTGATAATGGGTATTTTAGAGGGTACTGAATATGGTCAAGGATTATTGTGTTATAGAATTTAATACACATATGTAATGCTTACTGTGTATCAGGCACTGTTCTTAATACTTTACTCACACATTTAATCCTTCTAATGTAAGTGGGTATTCTACAGGTGGAGAAAATATGGCACTTGCCTCTGTTTACAAAGATAGCAGGCAAAAGAGCTAGAACTTGGCTCTAGACAGTCTCACTCTAGAAACTATGTTCCAAACCAGCCTACTATAATATTTGTACTATAATATGTGGACTCTCTGTAATTAGTGTTCCAGTAACTCAGAACCTGTGACTTGGAATAAACATTAGAGATCATAGAAAATGGAAGAGATGTTTGATATGTTTGAGGAAATAGTTTCTAGTACTTGCAAAGACTTTAAGAATAGCTGCTGACATGACTTTGTGTAATGCACAAAGTACAAATGCTTTTTGTTGAGTGTGGTTCCCATTGTGCAGGTGATATGTGAGTTTTGTGCACAAATGGTAACTATTTTCACTGTAGCTGAAAATGTAATGCTAAATGTAATACCCCAAAATATGTAATTTTCCTTTCTGAAGCAAGGATAAGATAGTTTGGATAAATTTGTCACTTTTTAAAAATTTGTAATAATGACTCACTTCTTTGTTTTAATTTCTATAACTTTAAAATTTTGTAGAAATTTCGGAGTGCTTCAGTTGGGGCCGAGGAATACATGTATGACCAGACATCAAGGTAGGTTACCAGGAGATGCCCCTGGAAACTGATGAACTGATGAACCTTTAAATGTACCCTCAAGTTATACTTTTTAACCTTTTTTTCCCTCTGTATACTTTTGTTGAACACGCTGATTTCCTTTGTGTTCATTTCTTTTCTCTATACAAATGACTTCTAAATTACCATTTCCAGGCTTGAGCAATTTTCTACCCTGTCTTTGTCCTATTGACCAGACATCCCTTCTTAGGTGTTCTTCTGAACTTGTGTGCCTCCACACCAACATGTACCTAATGGAACTCTTTACCTTTCTGTTCCTCTTCTTTCCTTTCTTCTCCATTTCTTTTCATCTGGTCTTCTGCTTTTATTTCTTATTGTGGCTAATGATGTAGCCATCCTCCCAGTCACCACTCTAGAGGTATAAGGGTCTGCCTGCCTTTCTGCTGCATTTTCACAACACTTGCCAAGTGCTGAATGTTCTATTCCACCTGTCCTGTCCTTTCCAACATACCCTTGTTTATTTTCTCCTGAACTATTGCAATATAACTGATCTCCCTTTCTGTTCTACTTTGCATATGTCTAACAGCCAGCCCACACTCCAGTCCTCCCATGTACCAGCAATGCAATAGGCACTAGGGCTAAGATGTAACCTGTCCTTACAAAAGCTCCATAGACTTTTGGAGGAGACAAAATTGGTGATGGACAAATTGCAATAGATTTGCTAAGTGATGAGTCCACACATTTCCCCACATACTATAGAGATGCATAAACAGAAAGCAGAGAGGACCTATAGTATGTGGGGAAATGTGTGGGTGGGGCTTGGGATGGGGGGCAAAACTTCACAGGAAGTGAAATTAAACCTGGATCTTGAAGGATTAGCAGCTGGAGTTTAGCAGAAAAAAAAGGAGAATTAAGACAATTCTAGGTTGAAAGGCCAGATGTCCAAAGACTTTGTGATCATGCCTGAAGACAGGAGAGAATGGCAAGAAATGAATTTATTTTTCACATTTACAAAACATACCAGTGTTTTCACTGTCTCAAACAAAGTTAAACACAAATTCCTTATGAAGGTGGGCAGGGCCCTCTATGTGCTGGTCCTTCTTTAACCCTTGTCTCTCACTGTATTTCTTACTCCTCTGCTTTTACATGTATTGCCCTCTTCTAGTCTGTTTCCACTTGACATCCTCCTGGCCCTTCAGGGTCTTGCTCCAATCTCAGGCTCCCCAGATCATCCTAGTCAGAATTTGGTGAAGTGGGGAAGGCTAGAGTTCTAAATCACCTTTTAAGATGTGGAAATACATATATAATTTGCATGCTATAAATCCCGTTTACTATATAATCCGCTTTCAGGTCAGTGAGAAGAGCACTGAAGCATTGACCTACTAGTCCCTTGACCTGGTTTCTCTTTCTGTGGCTGTGATTGTCTGGAGGAGTGAGCAAGCCTCTCAGCCTCTCCTCAGCTGTAAATGAGGAGGTGGTTCTTATCCTCTGCTATGGATAGGCTTGGGGGACACAAACCCCCTGAAATTATATTCAAAACCATTTATGTTTATATATGCTTTTTCGGGGAAAGGGTTCACAGCTCGCTTCTTGTTTTTCAAGCAGTCTGTGCCCTAGATAAGTTGCAAGGTACTAGTCTAGGTGATTCTTAATATCTTGTCCAGGTCTCAAATTTTATGATTCGGCGACTATTTTGAACTTGCTTTTTCCAGCAAAATGACAGTGGAATTGATTCTGTCTTGAATGATTTACTTCCCACCTTGTTCTAAAACATATATTCTGGAATTTGTTTAATCAGTTTAGACCTAAGATTTTTATCATGTAAGAGGAATATTATTCTGTCCCTCAAAAATTTTTTCATTATAAAAGTTAAAAAAATCAAACATTGTAAAAATATTAAACATAGAAAGCAAGAGGCCCCCTAATCCTGTAAGTAGGCCATTTTAAGAGCTTAAAAATAGGTAGACTCAATGAAGAGTTTCTGATGCTTCAGAAAACACACAAAGTTTTTGTTATTGCATCGTCACTGTGTGCCATCTTGCAGTTTAGCACAAATAAATATTTCTGAATGAGCGTGTTTAAAAAGATTATGATTCATACCTACTGCTCATTTTAAACAATTGATATTTTCTTTAAAGTTGTAAAAATTTGTGGTTTTGTTTTTTAAGTTAAATCATATTTTTAAAAATATTAGGGAAATCATTTAGAGCAAGAATTTGCAAACTATTTCTATAATGGGCTATAGAGATGTTAGATGTGGTGGGCTATGTAGTCACCACTGAATTCTGCTATGCAGTGTGAAAGCAACCATAGACAAGCAGCCATACACGGTGAATAAATGAATGAGCATAGCTGTGTTCCCATAAAACTTTATTTACAAAATCACTCAGTGAGCTGGATTTGGCCCACAGACCATTGTTCTCACACCCCCAATTTAGAGCAGCAACCCTGTTGTGAGTTCTTTTGCAGGCTTAAAAAACAAAACACAAAAATAAAAAAAATACTCCCTATTATGGAACTAGATGTTTAGTAATGAATGCTTGAGTTTTGGGTTTTCACATTTTGAAGTTTTTAGAAGTGGAGTATATTTGTAATATCTTTGTTAGACAAAGAGGAGAGGTATATATACATGAATTGAACAAAAGCATTCACACATCTGGTTTGTTGCTAGGATAAAAGTGACAAATTCTATAAATTCTTAAGTTTCAGGCATTGCCTATTGGCAACTAAGACCTAGCAGAGGTTCACTTGGCATGTCCTCGTACAATTGGCCAGGTGTATCATGGACTTTCTCCCCTTCTAAACCATCTGGTTTATGGGCCACTATTAGGAATGTTGTATATATTGTACTAGCAGTGACCTTTGGTCAGGTCTCATCTCTTTTACCATATGTTGTGTTTTGTCTCTGAAACAGAGTAAATATCGGTTAATATTCATACAAAATAATATTCAATGTAAAGTTGATCAGGAAGGCAGTAATGTCCAAGTGAGTGAGTCTGACCTCCGTTTGTTTTCTGTTCACAGTGGCACGTTTCAGTACACCCTGGAAGCCACCAAATCTCTCCGTCAGAAGCAGGGGGAGGGCCCCATGACCTACCTCAACAAGGGACAGTTCTATGCCATAACGCTCAGTGAGACTGGAGACAACAAATGCTTCCGACACCCGATCAGCAAAGTCAGGGTAGGGGCCGTGTTTCTTCAGTAAATCACAGGGATCGGATGAATGCAACTGCTACCTCACAGCCTTGTGGGAAGGGCATGGAAAAAATTCCAAAATAAATAAATCTAGAACAAATGTCAGAGAGTTGGGGCAAGAGAACTTATTGGCTTGTAGTTTATCATTTTAATCAGTAACCCATAAACCCCGGGGAAGGGACGTGTTTGGAACATGCTTTCTGACTGTATCCAAGGAATTTTCCCAGATTCACTCATTGCCTGTGTGCTACCTGGCTGTTGTTGTTTTCAATCAATCAGTTGATTTTAATTTTTTAAGTAAGTAGCCGAAAGCCAGAATGTATTCCTCCATATTAGCTGCTGCTTTCTTCTGTAAGGGAGGACACGGTTCGTCTGTGTCCCCGGACCCTTTGCAGTTCTGTTTAAAAGCCTTCCGTAGCCCAGTGCTTTCTCAGGAGCCTAGGGGCGAGGCACCGTCTGATCCCTACCAGGAGTGACTTGGAGGCAGTTCCACGTTCATGAGAGTTAGTCCTAGTTGTGGGAAAGGAGAGTGCCCTGGACGCCTGCCAGCTTCTTGCATTCTCGCTACTGCCAAGAAAGGGGGGACTGGTAATCCCTCTCTACTGAAAAGAAAAATTATAGCAGAGTTCTGAAAAGAGACTGAAGGACTTCCCTGCCCTATTGTAAAATGATTTATGCTGCTGTGTGCACGGGCCCACCCCACCTTATTTCATCCATCGCTACCTCCTCCTAAGCTCTTGAGCACGCTGAGAGAGGAGCGCTGTGGTGTGTGCCTGGAGCGCAGGAGAGCCCGAGTTCACCCCCACCCCAGGTTCCCACCCAAGGTAACAAATGAAGTGGAAGAGAAAGAAGAGTATCCGGGTACCTGCTGGCTGGCCCGCCTACTTCTAGCTTTCAGTGAAATCATTGCCGTGGTTATCTCCCGATCAACTGGGTTTTCTGGCTTGGTGTCAGGGAGCCAGAACAGGAAGGGTTGCTGCTCTTTCTCCATCTAGCAGGCCTCCCTCCCTCCGAGGCCGTCCCAGGCCCAGATCAGAGTTTAGGAGGCAGAGCAGCTGAGAGTGAGGAGAAGATGTGGAGCTAATGTCTCACCCAAGGCTGAAACGTCGCCAGTAGGAAGGGGCTGACTGTGCTGTGTGCCCCAAGGCAGTTGTATGTCCCACCCTGTGGTCCAGGCTAAGGCGGAGGGACAGCAGCAACAGAATAACAGTTATATTTATTGAGCATATCTTTTATGTATCAGGCACTATGTTAAGCACCATACGCCTAGTAATTAATTTGAAACGAATAAAAATTCTATGAAATAGGCACTATTCATTTTATATTAGAATGAGGAAACTCTGGCCTTTTAGAAACGAGTAACTGGCCAAGGTTACATAGCTAAAATGTGAGAACCGGGCCATATCCCAGACAGGCTGACTCCAGAATCTATTCTCTGAACCACCAAGGTGCACTGGTTGAGTAGCACGGAGGGCTGAAAGGCAGAGGCAGTCAGCCGGGCATCTACCTCTGGACATATTTATTTATATGTCTCCTAGAATTTACATGTGGAGGCCTGGTAAGAAGATATTTGGTAATTTTTTTTTAATCTTATAAATTTCAAGTAAATGTATAACTCACACCTTCTTAACACCATTGTCATTACCATGAGAAGGTGGTGGATGGTTAGAATTCTAAGGCCTTTTCTAAGAATCCTACTTCATTAAAATCATGGAAATAATTTAATATGGAAATTTTACTTGCTTCTGTTCCATTCTGGCTAAAATGAGGAGCACTCCTCTTAAGCTTTTCCCTCTAACTTCCTGGAGAGCAGGATTGCACTTGTCAGAGAAGATTTTTCTTACTCCTCAGCTCTGGGAGAGCTAGCAGTCTGAGCAAAGAGGGGTGCACTTGGATCCTACCAGCGTAATCTCCAAGAACTGTGTCTCCTTCTAAGTTGAAGCATATAGGTTTGGTAATAGCAGTTTCAAACAACTTTTTTCTTTCTTTTTTTGTTTTTGTTCTTTATTGATTTTAGAGAGAGAGAAACATCAATGAGAGAGAACATCAATTGGCCGCCTCCTGCATGACCCTGCTGGGGATTGGGCCCACAACCTCGGCATGTGCCCTGACCTGGAATCAAACCGGTGACCTCTTGGTGCATGGGTCGACACTCAACCACTGAGCCACACCAGCCGGGCAAACAACCTTTTTCTTTATCACTGAAGATAATGATTTCCATACCAACAATATGCCATTATTTATGCTAATTTATTCATTTGCTAGGTAGGGTAAAGCTTACCTTAAATATTATTTTTTATTTTGGAACAGACAAATAAACAGCAGTGAGTTTTCTGTGTAAATGGAGAAGTTTGAAGAAGTGAAAGGGAGAGCGATGGGGAGCTGGCTGAGCTCATAGTTCTACCAGTACAGTCAGGGACTCCCTTTCCCGTGACGCATGCCTTTGAAGATCATGCTGCTTGGATTTTCAAAGAATATAGACCCATGTGTCTAAACTGGTTTTCTTAACAAACATCTGCCTTCTTGTGTAACGACTGCCCACCCGTACACTGGGAATAAGCCAGGTTAGAACTGACTGCACAGACCGGCACGGCACGGATTTCGCATCTATCACATGTGAGGCGTGAGGGCCACCGTGGTGAGTGGTGCTGTTCCTGGCCTCGCCGAGTTCGAAGTCCATGGGAAAGCATTGCCATCGACGGAATAATTGTAAATAATTAAGTAAATGACTACAAGTGTGTAAAATGCTACAAAGGAAAAATTATTAAGGAATATAAGTCAGTGAAAGAGGCTTTGGGCATAACAGGAAAATGTCTAAGCGGTATTTTGCCTTGGAGTGAGAAGGGGAGGGCCTTATCCCTGATACTGTAACTAAGGGGCCCTTTGGGGTTATTCGTTTGCTTTTGGTACCTTCTTGATCATCTAAATGACAGTGAATTAGCATGTATTTAGCTTAACGAGGCTGTTTATAATTTAGAACTGAAAGGCGTTTTGGGATTCTTATTCGTTTCTCAAGCTCATTTTTCAAGTACATCACATTCTATTGAAATTAATAACATAGTTGACCTCGTATCTTTTGGTCTATGAAATGTCTGCGGCTTACATCTATATTCCTCCATGTGAACTCATCCTTGGCATTTCTCTCATTACTTTGGTATCTCTCTCATTTACCCAGTATTCCAGCCTTAGGCGTTTCATTAGGCCAGAAACAGATATTTGCTCCTTTACAAATGGTGCCAGACTCTGTGTTTAAGGATGAGAAATTTTTTAAAAATGTGCTTGTTCTCAGTATAAAAACAAAATTATTTTGGTATTCCTACTCACCTCACAAAATATTAGATTTGCTGGTAATTAGTTAATCTGGTTGTTTATGACTCAGGGCAAAAACAATGTAGGATTCTTTTTTCCTTTCTGTGGTTCTCATTTCCAATCATTTGTTAAGTAGCCTCGTTTTATAACGAAACAGACCCTGTGACTGAGCTTGTCTGGACTTTTGTAAAGCAAGGGAAGCGACAGTACAGAAACACCCTCTGGGAGAACTCCCAGAATTGGAGACCCTGTGGACAGAAAGTAAGCCCCGTGTTCTCCCCTCCGCAGAGCGTGGTCATGGTGGTCTTCAGTGAAGACAAAAACCGAGACGAGCAGCTGAAATACTGGAAGTACTGGCACTCCAGGCAGCATACGGCGAAGCAGAGGGTCCTCGACATCGGTGAGTGGACCTGGACCTCCCAGCGTGGTCTCTGGTGAACTGACAGGTTATCATGACGCGAAGGAGGGCCCAGCACAGAAATCACAGCTCAGACCCACATAGCTCTCGCGAGGTGCCAGGCACTAGACTGTGCACTTTTCCTTTGTTAGTGCATTGAGTGCAAATCAGGCTGAGACATCAAAATTGGGTTGAGTGCAAAGCACTTTCTGTTCTATGAAACTCAACTGTGTCCCATAAGCAATAGTAATATATTTAGATTTGCAAGGGCCCTGTCAGTTTCTAAACCTATTTTCATGCTCTTCTGTGATTGAGCCTAATGGGCAGCCAAGCAGGCCAGATGAACTCTGATCCCCCTGTGACATGAATGACTGGGCTCATTTGGCTCTAAGGTACTTGTGAAGGTCACATGGCTGGATAGTGAGTTCTAGTTTTCTGATTCTCCATGTAGTGTTCCTTCACTCTAACACACGTCTAGTGCAAATAGAACTGCATGGTCAGGCAAACAAAACCTTTGAGAAACCTTCCCTGGCAGTAAAGAAGTAATGAATCTGCCAAGTAAATTTCCTGGAGTCTGTATACGCCTAAACACAATGTCTATTCTTTAGAGACCTGTGGTCGTCTCTACGAGGTTCAGGGTCTAGTCAGGGCAGGGGAGCCCATTCCAAGTGGTGCCGTGGAGGGAATTCATTGCAAAGGTTGGAAGAGCTGAAGGCACCATGAGGCAGTCCAGAGATGAGCAACTACAGGAATCTGCTGCTATTTCCTGTAGGGCTGGAGGATCACAAGGAGGGGTGGTGGGTGTTGGAGGAGCCACCCAGAAAGAGCTATAACCATGGGGGGGTGGGCTGCCTCAGCAAGAGCTGTGACCACAGAGGGACCAGCTTTCCAAAACGAGGTAGAACCACCGAGGAATTTCTGCCAGGGACTCCTCTCAATGCCAAGAGCAGGGATGGGAAGGAGTGCCCTGGCTTCTTTACGCCTCCTAATCTCCCATGAGCGCTTCTTCTTGACCGAATTTACCCAGAAGCCTTTGGGAACATGACCCTAAAAATACAGTTTGCAGGAATCAACCTCTGAAACACAGAGCAAAGCAGGGGAAGTCAAGGATTGGATCTTAAAGTTTCTAGAAATTACTTAAAAACATAGGCCATAATATATGTGTTTCTAAGTAATTTTTAACACTTTTTATGCTGTTTCCACAAGCAATAAATACTTTCTCATTTATAGGCTTTATTACTCCGTTTTGCAGACCGAGAGGCTGCAGTCCCAGTGAGTGCAGACAAAGTGAAGGTTTCCATCATGTTGAGTATCAGAAACTATTGCAGGACCATTAGAAGGATGTTTGCTTTGATTTCTTGCACATTGCAATGATGGATTTTTCCGACCTCTCTTACCCTTGCTAGAACTCCTAGACCAATGGCAGAGAGGTTAGTGACTAGGTTAGGTTTAGAGACTCACTGTAGAACGTATGAAAACCATTTACTGGGTTAGCCTGCAAAATGTTTACGCACCACACACACATGCGTAAAGTGCACACACACAAGAACATATATCTTCTGTTAACTAATCCAGCATCTTTATCTAATAAACAAGGAAACTGAGCCTAGAGAGGCTCATTGAGCCATGATCCCAAGTGGCTTGTCCCCAGTAATTAGTGCAAGAGCTGAGATAAGAAGAGTTTTGCTCGCCCAGGTCGTATGCTGAACCTCCAAGACCGACCAACTAGGACAAGGGTTTGGAGATACTTGTCTTAACCTGCTTGGTAGTCAATCTGCATAGAGCAGAAGAACAATTTTATTTTATTTGAAAAGTTAGCCTTATAATTATTACCCCAGAAAATGAGAGGAGCAATTAAATAGAAATGTGGACTAGGTCCAAATAAGGCAAATAATAAAAGCATTTTACTGGCATACCTGTTGGTTCAACTTTGATATTATTACAAGGTTTACTTTTCTTAGACCAGAATGATTTCTCAGCTCTCACAGGACTTCAAATCTTATCTCTCTTCTTTATCACCTCCTGCCTGCCTTCAGACTTTTCTCTCCTATAATCCTACACACACACATGCGCATGCACACATACACACACCCACATGCACACATACATCTGTGACTTTTACTAAGTAGCTTCATGGCTACTTGGGTTCTTGCTCTGAACCTGAGACCAAGGCATTAAGTCAGCCCCTTAGTTTCAAATGGAAAATTGGTTTTCTGACCATAATCTCTACCCCTATCCTCAACCTAACATCTCTACTCAGACAGGATGATAAAATATGCAAAATTCTCGTATCATTCATTGTGTACTTGATTAAAAAAATCAAACTGCGTGTTCCTTTGCCAGTGGTGGTAACAGCATTTCCAATATATAGGGGGCAGTACTGCTGCGATTGCAGGTGCGCCTGCGTGCTGCGCGCCGTCATTGGCGGGAACTCTGGAGTTCAGTGTCGGGATCTCGGTGAGGTGACATTGTAGCTCAGCCAGGAGGATTATCACTGCCTACTGAGGGCGCAGAACGACCGGAAAGCTCATGTGCTATACCTTTGCCAGTTTGGGTTGAGATCCCTCCAGTAGCCTAAAAAGGAAAAAGGAAAAATCCAAAGTGACTGAGTGTATTCCTCTTTCTCACCCTCCATGAAGCTAGAGGTTCAAGTCAGGGCTCCAAAGCTGTAGTTCCTAAATGTCCACCTGCCCCTGAGGTTGGCAGATTCAGCGGGATTGTGTGTGTACGGGGATGCACAGTCTTCCATCTCGTTTTCCAGGGGTGCTGGGACAGCTGCCTTCCCTCCACACTCTGCCTTTCTGTCTCTGCTCCGAGCAAAGCCCGAGGGAGCTGTCGCCTCTCTGTGTCTTTTCTCATTCGGCATTTCCTCAACACGCATGACCAAGGACTGTTCCGTCGTCTCTTGTACCCTGTAAAAGTGGTGCCTGGCAAACAGTCTGTATCTTTTTCTTACATAAGTTCTATCACTTGTATTGGATTGTGGATTGTTCTTTGAGGCTGCTGTCAATCAAGGTTGGTTGTTTAACAAGGAGAGGACCCTCACTGTCCCCAATGAAATCCTGCTGGTGGGTCCATGCAGAGAAAAGTGGGAATCTGAGGACCTGGGGCCCAGAGAAGAAGGCTACTCCTCAGAGCACATGGAGCCTCGACTCCCAGGTTCCTTGTGTCCTGAGCAAGGTTCCTGGTGAGGCTGTTCCTGCATCACACCAGGCACGTCCCTCCGTGGCTGGATACTTGCACCTTGTATGTCTGGTTCCCTCACTTCTTATAGGCCTTTGCTTGTTGTCACCTTATCAGAGAGACCTTCCCTGTCGCCTTACCTAAATATCACACCCTGGTCACCACTGAGTTTCCTCACCTTTATTTTGCAGCAGAGTGCTTGCTACTACCAATATGTTACTTATGTATATAAGTTTCTGTTTATTATTGTTTCCCAACTCTTGTCTGTTTTATCCCCTGCTGTAGCCCCAGTACTTACTGCAGGGCCTGAGACATTGTGAGCATTCAGTACATAATTCCTGAGTGAGCGAATGAGTGAGTGAGTGAGTGAGTGAACAAAGGTATGGATAAAATTCTTACTACACTGACAGAAGGCAGACCTCTGAAAGAGTTAAGTGTTTCTCAAAATAGTTCCCATGTGTTCATTTCCTTCTACATTTCAGACTCTTTCTATACATCATACATAAATATTTTGTCCTTCATCCTCAAAACAGACTCATTTCGTCCAAAAAACTGAAATGGTGAGTGATTAAGAATATTACCCAAGGTCATGTACATGGTGAATGGTGTAGGTGGGATAGAAACCCAAGGATGCTGAGGTTCGCATCCCTTGTTTTTTATTAGCCTACACCCTCACTCCTCTTTGTGTTGTCTTTGCATCCCAACCCCTGGGTAGTTCTTGGCTCCAGCAAGCCCTGGTTCCATGTGGCGTGACTGAAGACATTCATTCATTGACCTTGACCTGACTTCCTGCTCCTCCCCTCTGTACCTTCCTCTCCATACATTGAGAACGTTTTGTAGTCTGGGTGCTGGGACTTGGCTGCTGCTTGTTCTGACATTTCTGAAAGCCTGTTCAAATGCATAATTCTTGTACATTAGGCTGTAGACTACCATTTTCGAGGGGGAGGAGGAAGGAAACATTAACAATGAGCTCTTACTTGATATAAGTAAAACCAACGGATCCTGGCCCAAGTGAATTTTGCTGCTTTTCCAAGCACACAAGCAGAGTTCTCCAGGTCTCACAAATTCTTTCTTGTGAGCTTGTTGAATAATCACAACTATTCCAGATTATTCTGTAGCTCAAGAAGCGTTCCTGTGCCAATTATATCTCCTGTACGGATAGCTCCTTGGATTCTGCCGGTCCTTTGCTTGTCTCTGAGTGTGCAAGCCCTTTTACCATGGGATGTGGGGTTAGTGCTGGTCCCGTATTAGGGACCATTCCCTTGTAGAAATTCCACATTCATTCAGCAAACGTGCCAAACCTCTGTTAGGGACTGGTGACTGAGAGCTAATTAAGGCAGAGCCCTGTCCTCAAATTGCTCCAATCTGGAGGTAAGAAGATGAATGGCTCAGAGGTCACTCGGAGGAGTGCTTCCCAGAGATGTTTTGGAGACCTCTTCGAAAGGATAATAACATATGAGGTAAAAACGTGGGTGAGGTGGCTACAAGCCAAGGAGGGTGGGGTGGAGAAACAAGCAAAAAGCACATTCATAGGTATAGGAACCAAGACAGAAAAATCCAAATGAGATTGGCAAGTTATTTTATAGTCTGAGAAACTGCACTGAGGGAAGGGTGGAAACTCTCATACATGCTAGTGGGATTGTTCATTGATGAAGCCCGTCCCGAGAGCGGGGTGAAGAAAGAAGTCCTGGGCACCTGGGGGTGAGAAAGTGGGAGAGAAGGTTTGGTAGTTGAGGAAAGGCTTGCTTTTTTAAGGGGAATCTTAGCGTGACAGGGAAGTGACCCATACATGGAATTTGCGGATCTCAAGTTCTAAAAGG